GAGCCAGGAGGCTGCAGGGCCAAACACACAGGAAGGAGAAGTGTGTCCAGGATGAGAAGGTGCAGGTGCCCACTGTGCTAGCTCACTGTGGAGACAATGGAGACAGCGGCACCTACCCTGGGAACATGTCAAGGACAGATGTAGTAGGAGAATTGAGTGTGCCTTGAGGTCTGGGCCTGGGCTGTGGCTCCCATATAGGTCTCTGACCATTGGTCAAGGAGGCTGGTGTTGGGGGCAGGGCAGGCCATGGGGGCTGGGGAAGGGCCACTGACTACAGGTCTGTCTGGGAAGGAGGGTGCAGGAGGCAAAGATCAGACCCGGGAGTTGCTCTTCCCTAGAGGTAGAGATGGGGTGGGAACAGCGCTGAGAGGTTATAGAGAGGGGCTCTGAAAGTCCCTCAACTTCCCCACCTGTAAGAGGCAACTCATGAGGACCCCACTCACAAGTCATGACAAGGATGAAATTGATGCTATGTGTGAACTGGGTAGCTCAGTGTCTGACATGTCCTTCCCCACCTCCTCTGCCACCTTGAACCTACCTTAGCCTGGCTCACGTTGGTGCTCACCTCTGCCCAGATGTGGGAATGGAGATGTGGAGAGTCACTAGCCCCTCTCAGAGTCCCTGCTATCTGTTTGTCAGTCTTTTTTTCTTTTTAGATTTATTTTTTTTATGTGATGAGAGTTTTGTCTGCATGTATATAAGTGCCTGTGAAGGCCAAAAGAGGGCATTGTATCCCCTGGAACTGGAGTTACAGACTGTTGTTAGCCACCACATGGGTGCTGGAAACTGAAACTGAGTCCTCTGCAAAAGCAACCAGTCCTCTTAGCTGCCGAGTCATCGCTCCAGCCTCACTAGTCTCTTTTTCGTGCTTCTCACCCCCAAATTTTGGATTCTTTGAAAGCAAGCCCAGGAGTCATTTCAATTCACTCACGACACTCCAGTACCCAGTAGACAGGACATTTTTATATGACCCCAGTGGCTTCATCACAACTTGCAAAATAGAACCCCTTCAGCTGTGGAGTACAAGAAGACTTCTACTTGCTGTGCTGGACCCAGGGCTGGGGCCTGGCTTTTGTCCCTGTGCTGGGTAGTTTTTTTGTCAATTTAACACAATCTAGAGTCATCTGGGAAGAGGGAACCTCAACTGAGGAATTTCCTCCCTCAGACTGGCCTGCGAGCATGTCTGTGGGGCATTTTCTTGATTGATCAGTGATGTAAATGGGCCCAGACCACGGCGGGCAGTACCGTCCCTGGGCAGGTGGGCCTGGGCTGTATAAGAAAAGTAGCCCAGCCAGTGGTGAAGTGGGGAGAAGGATGATTAAGATTGATTAAGATGTTCTGTATGAAATACACAAAAATTCAATTTAAAAATTAAAAAAAAAAAAAAACTAACTGAGCTGGACACAGTGGTACATGCCTTTAACGCAGGCAGATCTCTGTGATTTTGAGGCCAGTCTGGTCTACATAGCAAGTTCCAGGCCTGCCAGGGCTACATGTGAAACCCTGTCTCAGAAAACCTTCAAATAAAATTTAAAAAGCTTTAAAGTAGCTGAGCAAGCCAAGGGAAGCAAGCCAGTAAGCAGTGTTCCTCCAAATTTTTTCTTCAGCTCTTGCTTCAGGTTCCTGCCCTAAGCTTCTGCCCTGACTTCCCTCAGTGATGTAAAATGTAAAATAAACCTGTTCCTCTCCAAGTTGCTTTTGGACATGGTGTTTATCACAGCAACAGAGAAGCAAACCAGAACAGTTTCTACCTGGGATCCTCAGCTCATGGTAAGGACTCATGGCTTGTGGGAACAGAAGTGGCTGGGTTGTCCACGGTTCATTTCCCTCTAGTGCTTCCTCATTCCTGAGTGAGCATCAGCAAAGAGGGGCTGGGGATGACTATCCTAGAGGCACTAGCTGGTGGTCCTCACCCTCAGCAGAGCCGAGCCCCACTACCAGAGTGGCAGCTCCCCAGGGCTCTCAGGCTGTTGAGGACAGCTAGCCTGCTGCATGAGTTTGTACATTTGAGTGGGGGAGGGCTAGGAGCAAGGGCAGAGCAGGGCAGGGGAAGAAGAGTGGCCCCTAACACCTCTGTTGGGAAGGGGGGATGGGGGGAGTGTTAGAGGGGCCCTTGGCCCAGGACAGATTGTTCCTGGCTATGGCCAGAGTTCTGAGGGAACAGCCAGCGGGCATGACTCCTGAGAGGCCAGCCTACCCCAAGCCATCACTGTCCTCTGTCTCAGCCCCTCTTGTCCCTGCCATGGGGACAGGCTTAGACTCCCTGGCTGGCCAGATGTTTGGATGCCCAGCCTTGGGACCTCCAGCCATGGGGAGCTGGAGTCCAGCTATTTCCAGGGCACCAGGCCTGGCCCAGAAAGACTAGATAGCAGTTTGGGACCACACTTGTCAGTTGTGGCCATCAGAGCCCTCCAATCTGTTTTCCCACGTGCTCCATTGGCATATTGGCCGCCACTCATGCTCCCCCCGGAACCATTGGGAAGATGCATGAGACTAGAAAGCCCAGATGGCTGCCTGGGCCTGGGGTAACTTCCATACCACAGCAAGAATGGTGGAAAGAGAGCAGCTATCAGTGAGCTGTGGCCCTCAGCTTACTATAAGGACAGGAGGCTCCATATCACACTTGGGGACCTTGAGCTCCTATCAGGCCCTGGTGCTGGGACCCTGCTTCTATCCCTACACCTAGCTTCTGGCCTAGTTGCCCCCTTGTGTTCAAAGACAACACCATGAGCCCCTTCTGAACTTGCAGTCCTCAAGTTGGAGCCCCTATTCCCTTCTGCTTGCCTGGTCTTCTTGCCCTCTGAGATCTATGCAGCAGTGTGTGTGTGTGTGTGGGGTGTCACTCCTGCCACCCTGGGCTTAGGTCCCTGTCTGGGGCTTAATCTCAGCCCTGTCATTAAAATATTGCACTGGGAGGGAGGGGACAACTTAGGGTTCAAATCCTGCCGCTGCCACATGCCCAACGGGTAACTTCAGGAAATATCTTCCTCTCTGGGCACTCCAACCTGTTCCTAGAGCCAAGCTGGCTTCTCACATCCTCTAAGACCCCTTCTTTGGTGGATACTGCTCCCTCCTAGGCCCTTCAGTGGCCGTGCCTCTGGACATAGACATTAAGTCCAACCGGAAATCCTTCCTGTCCAAAGCAATTACTGGCTTCCATGGCTGCCGGAAGTGTTGAAATGCAGCCTGTTTGCTTTGGGTTTGTTTTCTTTCCACAGAACACAAAGCGTCCAACACACACACACGGGGGGGGGGGGGGAGAGGGGAGAGAGAGAGAGAGAGAGAGCGAGAGAGAGAGAGAGAGAGAGAGGCTGGGCCAGAAAACTAAATACCAACCTGAAAGTCTCAGGTTGGGCTCGTAGTGAGCACTGTCTGACCTCCTGGGTGAGCAGATAGCCCAGGGGTCCTAGGTTTGAGGCCCACTCCCCTTCTTACTCCCTCATGCCATCTTCTGCAGGGTGTTGCTGCCTGAGCTGTAGACAGCAGGACCAAGAGGTCACCTCCCCTGGGCCTGTCCTGGTGCCAAGCAGCTGCTGGGTCTCACGTTCACTGGGCTGTTTTATCTACACAGTATCCCCAGAGAGCAAGGCCTCAGAGAGATGAGTGGGGGAGGCAGGCAGGGCTGGCCTAGAAGGCAGCCCTGCAGAGGACCTGGGCTCTCAGGCACATGCTCTGTGTACTCTGCTGGGCACCCTTTTGGGGCTGCAAAAGGTTCCAGCAACTGACAGGGGACCAGCTATGGAGTTATACTCATGAGTCCTTCTGTTCCCCACTCACTCTGCTCTGTGGGGTCCCCTTCCCACACCTACTTGGCTGAACTGACACCAGCTGCGTCTAGGTAGACCCTTGTTATTTGCACACCTAAGTACAAGTACCCTGGTGGGAATTCTCTTTAGGAAATTCTCTTGAAGGAAAAGGCTAGGTGGTTCCCGGGGTTCACTCTGCACCCAGTTCAGACCGGGGTCCTGCTTCTGGAGTCAGGGGTCTGTTCTTGCCAATCCCCTCCCCTCCTTACCCCTGTTCCCTTGTTTTCTCAGCTCCATCTTCAGACCATAGCTGGAGGCACAAGCTTGTCCACACACCCGCACTGTGACCCATGTATCCTATGCATGGTTTAAGTTTAGTAACCTGAAAAGTTAAAACCCTGACCTGGGATTTCCAGTTTTCCTGCCCACCAAAAACACATAGTCTTAGATGGTGACAGTTGGTTCCAGCCAGGGACTTGATGCCTCTGTGTTGGGACTGGAGCTTCTTTGTCCACCAGCCCCTCACTGGCAGCACCATTGACCCCACAGAGCCATGAGGGGCTCCTCAAACTTGGTGCTGCTCAACCTTGGATGCACAGTGCACTCATGGGGGCTTTAAGAAGCCAAGGACATACTCAGACCCATTTCTCAGCATCTCTGTGCTTTGTTAGAGCCCCTGGAGGAACTGGTGAGCAGCAAGGTTAAGGGGGCAGCACTGGCCCTCAGCCAAGGAGTTTCATGGGACAGGTGTCTTCTCATAGTATTGTCACCCTCTGCAGATGCCCACCTGTGACAGCCTTACCCAGTCCTGGATTTGCTCAGAAGAGGAGCTCCCTGTTCCATCTCCTCTGGACACTTTAATTTGTTCACCATGTGATGCCCAGTGTCTGAGGCCCCAGTCCTGGTTTCAGCCAAGAGGGCCAAGCACGAGAAGTCAGTCTTGGAGGGTGATTTACTCCCATATATGGTTACCCAGAGTGGGAGTCCCATTCCCGAGCTAACGTGTGACTTAATCTGCTGACAGTCTCACAATTTGGGGCCCCACTTGGGGACAGCCCTCACCCTGGAGGGAGTATCCACTTAGGGGCAGACTGCAAGGAGGCAGGTCAATAGCACGGAGGCAGGACAAGGACAAGATGACCAGACTTGGAGGGAAGTGAATACTTCCCAAGTCCCTGCCACCCCTGATTTGTCAACATGTCTGTGAAATGTCCAGTTTCCCCCATGCTCCTTGTAAACAAAACCAGTAGCCTCCTGCTTTCCAAAGTCCTTTTAATACAGCTTGGAAAGGCTATATTTTTATAGGCAAGCCGTATACAGAGTCTCCAGGAATAAGGCACACAACGGAATGCCACCCTGAGGCCGGCCCTTCGGGGAAGTTGGAGCCTTCTCCACACACCTTCCAGGCGGGGCCCACGGGTTCTGTTTGTCTTCCTAGCTGGACGAACACACATGAACAGATACAGGACACAGTCACCACATGGGTGGGATAGGGAAGTTGGCCAGAAGGCTGCATTACCCCTTACTTCAGCATTAGTTGCTGCTCTGGCTACGATGTAATGAGGTTGGATTAGATGTTTGTTTAAAGTAGACTCAAGTTCATTAGATGCTAGAGGACAGGTGTAAGGGCTCTGCTGGACAGATCCAAGTTCAAACAGCATGGTGCTGGGAGGCATGGCTTGGTGAAGAAGGAAGGAAACCTGCTTCCTGCTTCCTTGCACCTCCTTGGGTCCCGCTGACAAGGCCCATGGGATGGCAGACCACCGAGGACCGATTCATCCAATGCTTCCTCTTCTTTTGCCCATTCCCTGCCCCTCCCCTACAAAATTAATAAAACCGTAATAACAAGATAAGAAGGTGCAGGAAAATGGACTACAATGCTGGGTATCAACCTCTGAGGAGGAGGCACAAAGAATCACCATTCCCTTTTTTGCTATGTATCTACGAATAGCTCCCCTAGAAAAAGTAATACTTTCCAAAATACACAAATGTATAAATACAAGACAAGAGCATCTTAAGAAGTCTAAACACTGGAATAATAGGCTGGCTACTTAATACTGATATTTTCATCCAAGGAAAACAATATAGAAAAACAACATAGCTTAAAGGATTACAAAGGTTTTTTTTCCTGATTAGAATTATGTACCAACTTCATATAATAATTCTATGTAGACAATATTTCCTTTTTACTGTAGTTCAGTTGCATACTTTTTACAGACCAAAGCATAGAGGAAAAAAAAAAAAAAACTAACAGGAAAAAAGAGAGCAGTTCTCACCATAAATATTTTCTCACAGCTCAACCCAGAAGACTTGCAAAACACTTCCAGAAATCTCTGATATTGGATTGCCTTTCTAAATGCGCTGACGTTTTAAAAATGCCTCTTTTGTTGTTGTTTTAAATTTCAAAAGTATCAAGCAATCCTATTTTTCTTTTTTCTTTTTCTTTTTTTTTAAAAAAGACCCTCAAATATATACAGACAAAAAAAATTACTATGAAGACATTTTTTTGGAGAAGCTCCCAAATTCAGTGTTGTACGAAAAACTGGTAACCATGCAGAAAATTTAACATCTATGAATTTTTTTCCAAAATACATACATAGCATTTTTGTTTTTTTTTTTATAAGAGGAATTCTGTGTCAAGTATAACTCAAAATAAATACAAATTCACAAGTAGAGCTATTGAATACTTCATAAGGGGTAAACCCCATTCTCTCTTAGCTAGATCGCTAGATCTACCGACTGCAAGCGATTGTCCCTTTTGAACATACTAAAACCACACAACTTTCTTACCCCCAGGCCCTCTGAGCACTTAATTCTCACATTACCCAGCCTAAGTAGTGGTATTTTTTTTTCTGGTCTCAGGAAGCTCCAGTCAGAGGATTACAAGGCAGGACCACAGAGGAACTTCCCCAGGCAAGAGGGGCTGGCCATGTACTGATGTCAGGGCAGTGACCATAAAGGTGATGTCCTACCTCCTGCAGGCTCTGGCCTCCGGCAGTCTGGAACCTGACTCTTTGAGTCTTTGACCCAGGGTGCCCATGCCCAGCTTGTCCTCATAAAGGAGACAAGCACACTGCCCACCGCTGTAAACATTCTCTTAAGAGGCCCAGTGGGATGACTGACAGAAACAACTTCCTGGGGACAGAAGGCTTGATCTGAGGTCACCCAGCTCACCTCAGCACAGCAGTTGGGCTTGGCAGTCCTTGGTGATAGTTCCCAGAGGTGGCTAGGTACTCACAGTCTACAGCCCAGCATGCCATTTTTCATGGGTGTCAGTTAGAAGTATGAACTGCCAAAAATACTCTTTTGTTAAGTGCTCAGAGGATAGCCTCTGGAAATCTACCCTGCAGCCTGATGACTGCTGACATGCTCCATCTCCTTCACTCACTCTCTGGACCCTAGGTTAACACTTCACTGTAACTCCTCAGTTGTACAAAGCATTTTCATTTGAAAACAAAGGGCAATTGGATACCACAATGGGTGCCCTTGAGCCGTGGTAAACATTGAATTTCAGGCCTGTTTTATGGTCTGATTTTTTTTTTTCATAGAGGCATAGTGTTGGGGCAAAGTCAAGGGACTCAGTCCTTGCAGCCAGTTCTCTCCTCCCAGAAGAGGAGGGTTAAGTGTGGCTTGTCACAGGGTTGGGGGTGTACTGTTGAGGCTAGCCAGGACAGTAATCCCCCTGGGCCATGTGACATGCCAAGAGACCTCTCTGCCCCAACAGGAAGTAGGAAGTCATAGTCTCCATTTTCCAAAGGAGAGGTTCTGTGGCTCATCTTAGACTTGCTGAGTGTGAGGGAACTTGGGAGACCTGGGAGAGGAGGAGGTCCTCTTCTGTCTTCACAGAGGATGGGGACATCAGGCAAGGGGGGCTGTAGAGGAGGATTTGGCATTGCTCAGCCTGACTTCCTAAGTGGTCAGTCAGGGACAGTGGTATGGAGGGCAGTGCACCTGGCAGTTTAGGGACATCTCTCTCAGTGAAGCTCTATGTTCTGGACCCAGCCAGCCTTCTTCTAAAACACCAGAACTCACAGGCCTCTTGGCTCTCTGGTGCCACTTTCTCACTTAATAGGGAAACCGAGGCAGCTCCAGAATGCCAGATCTGGGTCCTTCTTGCCAGAGCAAGCTTGCAGCCTTGTTGGGTGGCACCTTGGCATGGATGGGAAGCCAAGGGGAAGAGGGAGAACTAGAGTTGATAGACTCTAACTAAGCCTGCAGGGACAGTGTCTGGTAGGGGTCATGGGAGTTGCAGCCCGATGTCCCTAGGATGTTTTGGAGCACTGTCTACTGTTCAATACCTCCCCACCTTGCCCTCTGCCCACCAGTCTCATTTGTGGGGGAGGGGGAGCTGTGTACAGCTCCCAGGTGCAAAGCAGTGATATCTGGGGGGGGTCAGATTTGGGGCTCAATGTGGGTGGGAACAGAGGCCCATACCCCAGCAGCTACTAGAACAGGTGTCTGTCCCTTGTAGCTGCTGATTAGTACTGAAACAGGACTTCCCTAAAGGGGCTTTTCAGAAGAGGCAAGTTGGAAGTTTCTGGGTGGGAGAGGGCCTGGTTGGTCTTGGAGGGATGCCCCCCACCCCCACCCCAGGCCTCTGGATTCACAGTTCATTTAGTGTACTTGTGGCCAATGCAAGGCCACTCACCCCCAAAGAGACTCTGGGAAAGAGAGCCTCCAGGAACACCAAGACCTTTGCTGGCCTTTGCACCTCCACAGAACCCAGGCCCATGGTACAGAGCTCTGAGCTCCCTGTCTCTGTCGGAGTGTGTCAGCCACACTGTTTGTCAGCACACAAGACAAGGACGTGAGAATCCGCCACCTAGGCCTGCAGACTTGTGAGTTGCCTCAAGCAAGGGGACACGCACAGGGGGAGGTGGCAGCTGGGGGGTGCTGCAGTGGCATGGAGGTCACTGCACACGACGGCAGTAGTACCCTAGGACCTTGCACTTCTCGCAGAGGTGTTGTGGGTGCTCCTTGCTCTGGTCAGACACATCCAGGCCATCCGGCTTCTCCAGGGGTCTCTGCAGTGAAGAAGGGGAACAAACCAAGGAGGAGAGAGGGTTGGGGAGAGAACCTGCAGTCATAAAGGCACCTGGGCCAATGCCTGGGCACCCCACCTCTCACCTGCTTAGAAACGAAGGCACATGCTAAGGCCCTGGGCTGGCTAGAGCCAAGGCAGGTGTTTTAGACTCAGAACCCTGGGCAGACACACTGCTTGGTCCTATCCTCTCTGAGAAGCTACCCCCTGAACAAAGCTCAGAGTGTTCCCAAATCTAGCACAGAAGTAAGGTAGGACAGGACACAAAGACATGCCCCAGATGAGGAAACTGAGTCCCAGGATAAAGAAGACCCCCCAGCCCACATCTGTCTCCCCTGTCACTCCTGTATCTGCTCCAGTGGTCTCATGATTCAAAACAAGATTAGCCAGGACATAGCTACAGCACTTTAGCCTTGCCGGGGGGAGGGCCCTTAGTTCTATAAAGCCAGTCTGGGTTCTGGGTTCAGCCTAGCCTAGCTCCTGGTCTAATGCCTACCCATTTTTTGACTGACTACATGAATGGAACCTTATTGTTTTCTAACAGGGAAACTGAGGCTAGAGAAGGGAGGTGACTTACTAGTTCTGTAGGGCTACTCATACAACTGTGTCACCCCTCAGTAAAAGCATGCTGTCACAGTATTGACTGCAAAGTTTATGAAGATCCTGAGGGATGCCAGCTGTTGGTAAGCTGGGCCATGTCAGGCACATACAAGCACCCTTTTAAAAAATTACATTTATTTTGTGTATAGGTCACTATGTTATATGTGCAAGTATGTACAGGTGTGCCACAACACACATGGAGGTCAGAGGGCAACTTTCAGAAGTTGATTTTCTCCTTTCGCCATGTGGGGCGTCTGGAGAGAACTTGAGTCATCAGGCTTGGTAGCAGCCATCTCAGCAGCCCTCAAGCACACTTTGGATGGCTTGGGCTTCCCTGCTTTCTCTCCTTCCTTACCCTCCTCTCAACAGCCAGTGAAGACCATAAATGTTTGAGATCTTGAGGGGCAGTTCCTAAGGGGGCAGTATTTTAGCTGGTCACAGAGACTCTGGTCTCCCTCCAGCCCCAGAAGGACCCTGTGTCTGTAGAAAGGTCCCATATGGGGACTTGAGGGGCTCAGAGGAAGCTGGTCAGGGCCAGCTGGGAGCCTCTTGCTAAGAAGGGAAGGCTGGTGTGAAGCGTGGGACAGAGTCTCTTGCATACTAGAGACATACTCAGGAGTCAGGGGAGGACAGCTGGGGTGCGCACTGCTCTATGGTCAGACTGTTAATTGCTCAAAAGCAGTGCATTGGCTTTTCTGCCTGGTCCAGGCCTGGCCCCATTCAGAACAGTTGGGCAAATGGTTGAGTGGAGGGTTTCAGAAGGTGAAGATGTGGGCTGCTGGTAGGCAGGATTCAGATCCAGGGTCCTGCCTTTAGCTACCCTGGAAGTGGGTCTCATAAAACTCATCCCTGTGTTTCTAAGCTTTAGCTATGAAGGAAAGGCCTGGAAGAAGTGCCTGAGTCTGGACCCAAGGGGATTCCAGAGAGCTGGCTTCTCTGCTCCTATTCTATCCTGCCAGAGAAAGGAGAAAGACCTTAACTTCCTGTCAGTTCAGGTCCCAAATGGCTGCTCTGTTCCCATGTGCTGTGTGACCTTGGGCTGGCCACCTGACCCTCGGAGACACCATCTCATTCCCTTCTGGAAAGGGAAATCTGGGTGGCATGTTTTCAGGGAGTTCTCAGTAACCCATTAATAGAGACAGTAACTAGAGAGCGGGAAGCTTGAAGGTACTGGTGTTGTTTATTCTTAGTATTAATGGGAGAAGGACACAGGCTGGCATAGGGCTGTAGTGGAAAACAGGTGATCCCCTGTTGTTCCAGATAGCCCAGAGACTGAGAGCAGCACCCCCTCCTTCTGTGCTAGCATACCCAGGGGAGGGGCGGAAGCTCACTTTCTGCTGGCTGAGCACAGGCTCAGGCCATTGTAGGTACTGTATGAAGAACTTGACCTTGAACTGGAGTCTAGGTCCCTGTGCTCTCATCTTGGAGGTCCCAGCCACTCAGGGCCTCGGCTCCAAAAGGATAAATGGAGCCCTATCATGTCCCTCCCCCAGACTAAACCCAAGCTGGCATCTAACCACCTTCCACCGCCTGCTAGCCAATGCTTTCATGAATTAGTCTTCTGGTAAAACTAGAGGGGCAGGAGTGAGTCAGCCCACACTGCCCTGGTTCCTCCTGGCTTAGGCTTTGTGTGGCCAGGCACTGCCATGTAATTCAGGCTGCCCTCAGGTCAGAGCTTCCATGAGAGTGATGTGTTATCAGAGATGAAGAAACTGAGGCTGTAAGTCATTTAAAAGTCTTGCGTAGGCAGCAGCCTTCAGAAAGGGAGTGGTGAGTCTGTAGCCCCATGCCGTGGGGAACCAGGTTGTGGGGAGCTGCCTGCCCTATCCTCGGGCTCAGGGCCCGTTCCAGATCTTATGCATTCCCCTGGCCTGTCCTAGGTCCCTGGATTTCCATCCCTGGGGCAGCACCTTCCTCTGATGCGCTCTCACCTCTGTGTGGGAAGGCACGGCACTGGCCCCTCAGAGCTTAGGGCACTCCCATCCCTTTACAAGTATGACACTGGCTCCTGGAAACTCACTAGCACCTGCTCTGCCATACCCACCCTGGTGGGGTGCTACCTTCCCGGGCTTCATTGAAGGGGCTTACAGAGGTCCAGTAGGCCCAGGGAGGAGGGCACAGCCAATGAAGAGAACTCAGAGGCCAGCCCTGGCTTGTATCAAGAGCATTTTGGAAAACTACTCTGCTTGTGTCTCTGTAGTGTCTCCATAGGACATGGTATTGAGTCTGGCAGACAGCTTTGCATACCACCTCTGCTACCCATTGGCTGGAGGCGGGGACCTCGGCTTGCCTTTTGGTAGCCTGGGTTAGAGATTAGTGACAGTGGCTGTCTTTCCTCAGTTGTGTGTGTGTGTAGTCTCTCTCTCTCTCTCTCTCTCTCTCTCTCTCTCTGTCTCTCTCTGTTAGAGAGTAAATAGGATGACTAAGGACTCTTTAACCACAAAACACTCTGTTAAAGTCTTTGTAATTGCTGTGTTGACCTCCAGCGAACCATTTAACCTCTCTTTGTGTCAACTTTCTCCTCCATATAATGCAGTTAATGAGACAGGGCTGCTGTGAACAGAGTGGTTAGAATCCTCCATGTGTTGGCCAGTATTAACGCTTCATATTATCAGTAGTATTCCGAAGGGGTAGGGCACCAGCTGAGTCCTAGGGAAACGCTCCATCCTAGCCAGCCCCAGCCCTGGGATCCTCTGATTGCCCTTTGGCCTTGGCCAGCGTGGACCCTGGCGGGCTACTTCAGGCTGCCAGTGGGGAGCTTGGAGGAGCTGTGACGATGACTCTCCTCTGTGGAGGGGAACACTCAGCAGCTGGAACTGATCTGCAAGGCCCCACCTCCCGCAGGGATGAGAAGCCCATTAGTGTTTCCTTCTCTTCTGTGGGGGGCAGGGTCAGCAGGGGGAGACACAGCTGGAGCCTGACAGGAAACAGATGTGGCAGGGGTGGAGCTGGGGAAGAACAGGCTTGGGGGGGGGGGGTGTGAGGTGGTCCAGGTCAGAGCTGGGGGAGGGACAAGAGCCCTTCTACATGGGACAGGCTCCACTTCAGCTCTTAAAAGGCTCCAGGCTGCTGGGAGAGTGAGGGGACACTGCTCCCCAAACTCTTCCCTAAGAGAAACACAAGGGTTTCTCTAACAAGGGAGATGGAGGGCTGTAATGACAGCTGAACCCAGGACCCCAGAACTTGACTTGCTGGGGGCCTCTAAGTCCTGACCCCCCTGTGTGCCTCAGTCTCCCTGCTGTACACAGAAAGTGTCCGACAAACATTGGCTGAACAGTTGGGAGAGGGAAGAGTGGAGCCTCAAGCTCTTGAAAGATCCTTCTAGATTAGGCTCCTAGAGGCTTGGGCCCTCCCCCATAGAGTCCAAAGCTGAGCTTCCGCTGTGCTGCAGCCTAGGAGTGAGGCAGGGGAAGCCATCAAGTCAAGTAGCCCAGGGACAGCCTGGCATGGTAGAAGGGACCCAGAGAAGAGCCTGTCCTGACAGACACTTTGGGACAGGCACCGAACACACCAGAACACTGAGGGGTGTCCAGTCCCACTGGCTTTGAGTATGTGAGCTGCCCCTGCCTCTCCGCCCAGGTCACAAGACAATCTGAGTCCCCCAGATCCCCAGCTCAGACCCCAGTAACCCTCTGACACTGGGAGCTTTCTAGAAATTGTGCTGTCCCAGCACCCTGTTGCAGTCAGTCACCATAGCCTACCCTCTCTGCCCCCCACCTCCCTAGGCCACCCAGCTTCAGGTTCTATACTTTGAAGGATAAGACAAGGCCCAATAAGGGGAGAATGCCACCCTCCAGGGGGCCTGCAGAGAATGCCCCGCCTTCCCTCCTCCCTTCCCTCCAGCTGGTCCCAGTGCTCCACTGGTCCAGTCCCACACTGGCCCATGGCTAGCCCCGCCCCCCAGTCACTGCCCACTCACCTGCTTGTGTGGGTACACATTGATGTGGCACTTGATGCACTCCTGCCCCATGTTGGCCCAGGAGTTCCCACTCATCCATTTTCTCTTGCATTTGGGACACTTATATTCACCAAAGCAGCGCTTCTTGCCCTGGTAAGGTGTCAGACCTTCGCCTTTGGGACGGGCCTGAAGGGACAGAAAACAAACACAGGGAATTGGGGACCAGGAAGCCAAGATGATGTCCCCAGGACCTCTGCCTTCAGTGTGTATAGCCTGTGTCCTGATGTGCAAGCACTTCCTGTCATCAACTGAGAAAGTACCAAGGTCACCTCTTAGAACACACATGGGAATCCCAAGGCTGGAAGTTCCCCAATTCCCTCAGGAGACAGGAAGCAGGACATCGGGCTCCTTAAAGTTAAGATTTGTGAAGCACTTGATGGCCCTCAGTTACTTCTTTGATTCAGATGTCATAGGGGCAGCTGGATGGACACAGGCACCCTTTGTCCCACTGGGGTTCAGCAATACAGGAACAGAAACTAGGGGATGGTGAAAATGGTCACCCCAGCTTGTTCCTTCCATGGGCTCTCCAACCTATAGGCAATCATTTTCAAGGCTGGTTTTGAACTCAATCTGCCTGTCTCAGCTTCTGGGGTGCTGGGACAACAGAAATGCACCCTCTTTTCCAGCCCTGGAGACATCTCTATGTGTTTGGCACCACTCCAAAGCCAGCTCCATATTGACAAACATGTTTAGTATATCCATATGTCCAGGCCTCCTGTCCCTCACCAGATGGAAACAGATCACACATCTGCCTCATCAACCTTTTTTTTTTTTTTGAGATAGGGTCTCTTGCAGCGTAGGCAGGCTCGAAGTCACTATGTAGCTGAAGATGACCTTGAATTTCTGATCTCCTGCCTCCACTTCCACCTCCTCCCTGTGCTGGGATTATAGACATATGTCACCACACCTGCTTTATGAGGTGCTAGAGATGGAATCCTGGGCTTTGTGTATGCTAGACAAGCACTCTACAAACTGAGCTACATCTCCAACCCTTAATAATCTATCTTGGTGTTTCCCTGTGTCAGAAACAATAGTTACTGTATCCTGCTTAACTGTTGCATGGTCGCAGAACCCACATAAGCTATGTGCGCTACCTCGAGAGTTTAGTACATGTGTCATCTTACACATGTGTGAATGTATTTGTAGGGTAAACTCCTAAAAGTGAAACTTCCAGGACATTGGGGTATGTGCACTATTTTTAATAATAATACCAATGGTCACTGCCTCTACCCCCACAGTACTACCCATTCACCAACTTAGAATTCTTGTGGACAGGTTTTGTTTGTTTGTTTTAATTTTATGTGTGTGTATTGCCTGCGTGTAGGTAAGTGCACCCATGTCGTGCAATGCCTGTACATTCACCAACTTAGAATTCTTGTGGACAGGTTTTGTTTGTTTGTTTGTTTGTTTTAATTTTATGTGTATTGCCTGCGTGTAGGTAAGTGCACCCATGTCGTGCAATGCCTGCGGAGGTCAGAAGAGGCTGTTGGATCCCCTGGGACTGGAGTTACAGACAGTTGTTAGCTGCCATGTGGGTGCTGGGATCCGAACCTGGGTCTTCTGCAAGAACAACCAGTGTTCTTAACTGCTGAGCCATCTCTCCAGCCTGTGGACAGAGTTTTAACTGCAGGATTCTCCTATTGCAGTTTTACTTTCCATGCATTTATTTTCTTCAGTTTTAGTTATCTGTACTTGACTGATCTGAAAGTATTCAGTGTAGTTTCAGAAATAAATGATTTGTTTTTAAAATATTTTATTTATTATTTTTATTTTATGTATATGAGCGCATTGCCTGCATGTATGTTAAGTGCACCTGTGTTATGCACCTCAGAAAGGGCATCGGATCCCCTGGAACTAGAGTTACAGTCATTAGCCACCATGTAGATATTGGAGTCCTCTGTAAAAGCAGCTGGTGCTCTTGACCACTGAGCCATCTCTCTAGTCCCAGAAATAAACAATTTGTAAGTTTAAAACTTTGCACAGTCCTAAGGTACAAGATGAACATGGTGCCTGGGACATAACTATCTGATTGTCCAGTGTAGCCATTCTGTAAATGCTACCCACCCATTAGATAGCCAGTGGTCAGCAGTTACCAGGTGGACTGCACTATCTACAGTACTTGTGTTCAAATGATCCTCATTTTACATAGTAACACCCCTGGAGCTCAGGAGTAGGGATGCAGACAGCTCAGGTATGTCAAAGAGAAATTGTAAAGTGCCTCCATTACCTGAAAAGGTGAAAACTGCCAACTTCATAAGAAAAGAAAAAACTGTACGTGGAGGTTGCTACAAGTCTATGGTCAGAACAAATCTTCTATTGGGAAACTGAAGAAAGACCTTCATGGGGCTGGAGAGATAGCTCAGCAGTCAAGAGAGCTTACTGCTCTTGCTGAGGACCCACGTTGAGTTCCAACAACCACATGGCAGCTAACAACCATCTGTAACTCCAGATCCACAGAATCTGATGCTCTCTTCTGACCTCTGTGAATACTTCAGGCACATGGTGTGCTTACATACATGCAGGCAAAACACTCACACACATAAAATAAAAAAATTTTAAGAGAGATTCATGCTAGTTTTATATATAAGTGCACCCTTGTTGTGCAATGCCCTCTGAAGTCAGAAGAGGGCATCAGATCCCCGGAACTAGAGTTACAGACGGCTGTGAGCTGCCACATAGGTAATGGATACGGGGAACCAAACCCAGGTCCTCTGCAAGAGAAGCCAGTGCTCTTAACCACTGGATATTTATTTATTTATTTATTTATTTATTTATTTATTTATTTACTCTTTTTGAGCCTGTAGATGCAGTTGGCCTGAAACCCACTATGTAGACCAGGCTGGCCTCAATCTTACAGAAATCTGCCTGCTTCTGCTTCTCAGTGCTGGAATTAAAGGCATGCCCCACCATGTCCAGTCAGTCACCTTAAGACAGGGTCTCTCACTGAACCTGGAGCTGACCAGTTTGGCTCGGGTGACTGGCCTGCAAGCTCCAGGGATCCTCCTGTGTCCATCTCCCCAGGGCTGGAATTACAGGTGTGTGCCATCACATCCAGCTTTTTATGTGAGTGCTGGGGACTGAATCAGCTCCTCATATTTGTGTGACAAGCACTTTACCACTTTATCCCCCACCAAATTCAGAAAGCATGGGTTATAAGCATGGCCATGGTAACTTCCCTGAGTGACTTCTCACTTAGGAAACAGGGCATAGAGGGCAGGAGTACACTTTGATCTGAATCCTAGTTCTGACCTTCTGTAAGCTGATTCACAAAGATAAAGGAAATAGTTCCAGCTGAGAGTGTTCTGGGCCAGCGAGATGGCTCTGTAGGTAAAGGTAATTGCTGCCAAGCCTGATGACCTGAGTCCCGTTCCTAGGACCCAGATAGTGGAAGGAGGGAACCGACTCCCACAAGTTGTCCTATGACTCCCACACATGTGCCATTACATGCATGCACATATGCACACATACAAATAAACAAACAAAATAACTTTAAAAGAGTATTCTGGGACTGGAGATGGCTCAGCAGATGGCTTCTGCTCTTGCAGAAGATGTGGGTTTGGTTCTTAGCACCAACATGAGGGCTAACAACCAGCTGTAACTCCAGTTCCATGGGCTCTAACACCCTCTTCTGGCCTCCATGGGCATTGCACTCATGTGTTACATACATGCAGGCAAACCACTCATACACATAAAATAAATAAACAAGAGCATTCTGCACATTAAATGAGATGATACAGGTAGACCCTGAGAATAGCACCTGGCACACAGAAGGTAAAGGAGGATTATTGGCCCCACTATTACTATGTACTAAGCCAGAGGGTAGTGCATGTAAGATAATAATTTTTCTGTTAATTATGTTTTTTGTCCAGAAGCCTTTCATTTGGTGATGGCCAACTAGAAAATCCAGGCAAAATACTGAAAAGGGAGAGATGAACTTAGCATGCAAATCTAAATTTGGAAAGTGAGTGTAACATAGAGTCCCCAATGTCTCTGGGACCCTCACTGGACTTGCTGAATGCTCTAGGAGCAGGTGCAATCTGAGCTCCAGGAAGGCCTGAGAGAAGGCTGCATTGTGAGGGACATGCCCTGTACAATCAGGATTAGGCTCTGGTCACACTGAACAAGAGGTGTGTCTGTGCCTCTGAGGTACTTGGGTGCTTCAGGCTTTCAGTTAGTGGGTATTCTGAGTTCCTCTGGGACCAATTTCTCCACTGCCAGAGCACCCTGGCTCTGAGCAGCCTGAGTCTACAGTCTCCCCGTTTCTGTCATCCTGAAATGGGGTACCACATGCATACTCCTTCCTCCCTCTGTTTCCAGAGGTGTCTGCCTAGCTTGTTAAAAGGAGCCAAGGAGCTGGGCATGGTGGCACACACTTTTAATCCCAGGCAGAGGCAGGAGGACCTCTAAGATCAAGGCCAGCTGGTCTACCTATGAGTTCCAGGCCAACTGGGACCACAGGGAGACTCTGTCTCATTACTCCCCCTGCCCCCCGCCAAAAGGTGAGGGGGATGAGGAGGCTGGGGCGATGGCTCAGTTGGTAAAATGCTTGCTATGAAAGCATGTAGAACTGAGTTTGGCCCCCCAGAGTCCACATAGGAAGCCCGGTATGGTGGCACAGGTTGTAATCTCAACGATGATGAGATGGGAGGTAGAGAGAGGCAGAGCCCTGGAAGCTCACTGGCCAGTTAATTTAGTGAAGTTCTGGGCCAACAAAAGACCTTATCTCAAACAAAAGGTGGATGACACCTGAGGTGGTCCTTTGACCTCCACATGCACATGCACACAGAGGCATGCATCCGTACATCTTTGTGCACAAGCATACACACACATAGACACACACAATGGGGCTGAAGCACAAGGTGGGTGCCTTGCTACAGTCGGCTCTGAGGATCTTGACTGAAGGAGGGATTTGGGGCCTGTCCCCATAGGCTGGCCCTGGAATCTGGTTCTGCAGACCTCTTGCTCAGAGACCCCACAAGACCTGGGAACTACCTCCCACAGCTGGGGCAAAGGGTAGAAGGTAGGGTCAATTCATCCCAGCACATTCAGAGAAAAATGTACGGCCCTGGTCAGGATTTGAGATGAATTCTACAAATTCAGGTCCCAGGGTATATGATTCAGAAATG